TCTTTACAGTCTGTTCCACATTTGGATGGCCTCCAGACTCTATGGTTCCTCCTAGATCAGAGAGTCAGCCCTGCAATAGACACTGACCCTTTCTTCTTCTTCGCGTTCACCAGCTGTAAACTCTGGCGGAAAGTTCTGGTTGCTCGTCCACTACTGAACTGTAGTCCTGCTCCAGAACCTGAGTGTTGCGTGTGCATCAGTTTTACAGATCTCATTCTCTTGAATGCAGACTGTTGGTTCCTTGCCTCTCCGGCAGATGCACTCCGATTTCAAAGGAAGCTCCCCAATTAGTCGACTCTTACGACATGTTTTTGGGGAGGCAGTGGATCTATTCTTGTTTTCCCCACAATAGGGCCCCGGAACCCACACAGGGGACTGACCCTTTGATACGTTGGCTGAGTTAGTGCTCACTCTCAACTCTTTCGAGTTTAATGGCCGCTATTTTAACCAGATCAGCGGCGTCACTATGGGCACCAAGATTGGACCTAAGTATGTCTGCCTCTTCATGGACTACCTCGAGCACCAAACACGACATGCATATACTGGTAGGCTTCTCGGGTTCTACAGAAGGTATATCGATGATTGCAAAGGTGTCAACGATATGCCCCTACCTGAACTGCAGAACTGCATCCATTACTTTTCCAACTTCCATTCCAGCATCCGATGAACTTCTAGCATCTAACATTCGTCTGTTCATGATCTGGATCTCACTGTCACGGTGGACTCTAAAGGACTCTTAACCTGTGTGTACTATAAGCCCACTGATTCCCATGCTTTTCCTCTCTACACGTCCTCCCATACTTCTCCCTGCAAGGACTCCATTTCTTTCTCCCAACTTCTACGCCTCCGCAGACTATGCCAGGAGAACGACGACTTTCACAACAAAGCCCTAGAAATGCTGGAATCATTCCGAGAGTGTTCTGAACATGTCTTATCTGCCGCCTTTCACCGAGCACGGTCTAAATGTCACCACAACAGACCTATCCTCATACTTACCTACCACCCTCACAACATCCGGGCTAAAAAATACTCTCCATTCTCAGGGCTGACCCTGCCACCAGCATGATTTTCTCTTAACTTCCTCTAGTGGCCTACATACATGACAGTAATCCAAGGATATCTTAGTCAAGAGTCGGTTACGGCCTGCGTCAAACTAACCCATATGCAGGACTTGTCCATGTGTGGTTCAGGGAACACGTCTGGAATTCCCGAATGCCACCTTCCACGTGCGTGAATCATTCTACTGCACGAAGCCGCAATGTCATTTATGCCATCAGCTGCAAGAAATGTGGCAAGAAATACATCGGCGAAACTGGGTCTACGACTGGCCTGTAGGTTAAGACAAAATCCTTTGGATGTTTAAAACAGTGCCTTGAAACCAGTACCACTGCACTTCACTTCCCAGGATCACGAATTGCCGACACCGTTTTAACTAAAACTCTCCAGTTGCAGCCTCTAGAGTTCCCCGGGGGTATTTATTATCCTAACCCACGTGTCTAGTCAGGCTACTGACATGACATCGACCTGGCCGCCTCGAGATACTCAGCTAAGTGATTTTGTGTATTTGTGTGGTATTGTTTTATTTATGTATGTGCTGATGAAGGCTCCATAGCCGCAATGTTCACTTTTTGTTTGTGTTAGTTATACTGTGAAGCTTGCTTGTATACTTTTCGTTAGGGTTTTATATATTTTCTTAACAAGAGAGACACATACTGCTTTGCTGCATACTGTGAGCACTAAGAATGATGTATGTCATGTCTGCAGCAATGAAGGATACTGTAAATACTGAAGAGAAGAAGAAACAACCTCATAGTAGTAGTAGTAGTAGTAGTAGTAGTAGTAGTAGTAGTAGTAGTAGTAGTAGTAGTAGTAGTAGTAGTAGTAGTAGTAGTAGTAGTAGTAGTAGTAGTAGTAGTAGTAGTAGTAGTAGTAGTAGTAGTAGTAGTAGTAGTAGTAGTAGTAGTAGTAGTAGTAGTAGTAGTAGTAATAGTAGTAGCGAAGAGGTCCCAGAAACCGCGTTCAGCCTTTAGGCCATATTCATGACCGGGCTATTTTGTGGCCCCTGGCAAGAGCCGGTCGGGGCTTCAAAATAACGAAAAATTGCATTCCACAAGGAGATGACTAACAGTAATACAACCTCATATACCAACCGCAGGAGATGAAGAGATCAAGGTGATAGTGATTGAAGGTTGTCCTGCGATGCGTTTCAGTCAAGCGGAAGTCACTACAATGGAGCAAACCGACCAGCCAGATGCCCACCGCCAGCAACCTGATGCAGATAATATGATGGTGATTTCACTAGCTGTTGACACCGCATTCATGGCAGACCATTATGGTCTGACAGACCAGCGTTGGATGAGCGTCAATTACTGTCTCAACTATGCTGGTGATATTGGTGATTATTGAGAACCTGCTGAGGAAGCGATCTGTGACCAAGTTAAGGAAAACCAGGAACGGAGTCGTTGCCACTCAACAAAACGATAAATACAAGCAAGCTATTCCTCGACATAAAGGGAAATAACAAGAAAGAGTTGCAACTGCCGATTGAGATGGTAGTGATCGCTTCCATGTTTCACAATGTCCAACCCAGGGTTGTCAAGCGCATAAAATTGCAGTCAACAGACCTAAAAATACAAAATCAACTAAATAATGAAAAAAGCCATCAAGGCTGAACGACTCGGTTCAAGACACAACCCAACGACGGTGGCTGGAGTGACTACGGAAGGCGATGAAATACCCAGAGTGATGATAGACCAGAGGATACAGAGACATGAACAATACTTACTATCTTTATTGCAGTTTTCCAAATGTCAGAAGACTGGCATTCCTGATCGACTTGCCTCAGCAAACAGGACTTTTGTAGGTACTGTGAAGAGCCCCACCCTGGTTCAGATAGATGAGGACTTCCGAAAGCCCAATTTAGATATAAAGTCTGCCAACTGCTCTGGTCCGCATGGAGCAAGATATCTAGGCTGCCCACACCTACAGCTTTAAAAAAAGACGATTAAGGCAGCAATCAAGGACAACGTACCCTATGGAGGAAGCGCAAAAGAAACACGAAGCACGAAAGAGCAGTCCATCCCTGTATTCATCACAATTTCAATGCCAGATTACGAACCTAGGAAGTTAAATAAAAACTCTCCAAGAAGGCTAGGAAGCAGGGGGGCATACAGCATGTACAGATTGCAAGGAGATGGAGGAGATAAGAGAAACTCTGAAGACCACGCTAGAAGTTCAAAGTCAAATGAAATAGGTAGCTTCGGTGGAAGATTTTAAATCACAAATAGTGATCTTCTCAATGACTTACAGAACTAACAAAACCAACGAAGAATATACAAACGTGTGGATATGGGACATCCCAAACAGGACAGAAAAACGAGAGAAAAAAATGTAAACTCAAAAGCCAGAGCGAAGACCAAGATAGAGAGAGGCAGAGTAATTTTGAGGGCGTGTTTTTTTTTTTTTTAAATTATTTTAGGTAATCGTAATGTTTCATTTGTCGCCGCTGATTCCTTAATCTCTACAAAGATGTTTTCATGCCTTTTCTTAAGTATCATGGAAAGATATAAAACCGAACAAAAAGTTGTCGCCTTTTCATGAGTAACACAGTTTACTATGCAAGTTGAACAATAAGCAGACAACCCACAAACACACACACACACACACACACACACAAATCAACGTTAGGGAGCGGGTAGAGATTAAAAGAATTGACACATATCAATTGTAATGAAATCTTTTGTATGAATGTGAAGCATCGGGGGGAAATTGTGAGTTCTTAGGCCCTGGTATGGAGAAAACAAGAACAGACCCACTGCCTCCCCAGCAAGCATTTTGTAGGAGTCGACTAATTGGGTCTTCGTTCGAAGATGGAGTGTACCTGCGCGAGCGGCAAGAAAACACTAACTGTACTCAAATAAGCAGGTAAATCGGGTGTACACGCACAACTCAGACCCTGGCAAACAATCAGATAGACGAACAACCAGGACTTTCCACCAGAGCTTAAAGCCGGTAAACAAAAAAGAAAATTCTTTGTTGTTGGCGACTGTAAGAAGGACAACGATGATGATGGTCGTGGTAACGCTGTAACAAATCAAATAATGACTATAATGTTGTTGGTAAGGACGGTGATGCTAAAAAAAAGTCATGAGACCAAATAGGCAATTTAGCTGACATTAAAACAGAAGTATTTTGATCTCCATGGATACGTCCTTGATTGTAATAATTTTCTTTACTAATTTGAAGAATATTCTGGACAGTCTACAGCACAATTATAGAAGCATAATGGGGACATATGGAGAGATTGACACATAATAGAGAGACAAATACTGCATACAAAAACGAGTTGAATTAGAGCAGACCACGGTGTAGACTAAAAAACAGTCGAGAGATAGTAGTCAGGCAAACTACAAACTCTTGGAGTCACCAAATGGAAAGAGAAGGGAGATCACATAGATGAGCGCAGATACATATATATCTGCGACATATCTGTGATATCTCTGACAATGAACATCAAGGGCTCAAAATTTTGGATACAAATAATAATAAATTTGTATGACTCCTTGAAATAAATGATTTAAAGAGAGCCATTTTTGTAGTTCATTGGATTTTAAAGCTGTGATTCACCTGGCAACGCCATGCCCCTCGGTAAAGATTTGTCTCGGCATTTTGCTAATAACAAATGGAAATTTTAGCTTCAATAAATTAATAATTAACTTGAGAACATTTACCTCACAGGGCAAGAATTACTCTGTTGTTTTTCATATTTAAAAAAAAGTGTTAATAATTATGTCCAGAATTATTTTATTAGTTGCCGCGAAAATTATTATTAGTAATATTAGCAGAACAGATTTTACAATAGATTGATTCGTTTCAATTAAGATTTAAAAAATCAGCCAGGCCAGAAAACAGGAGATGTCACTGTCACCTTGTCTGCTGTAGATTTAAAATCAAGCTGTAAACTGCCACTGGCCATTAACACAAAAGAAAGTATTTTGAAAATGCTAGATATTAACGACAGTTCTAAATCTCAAAAGCCTAGTGGTTCAGTAACAAGTGGAGGCACTGGCACTATCGTTACTGACACTCAGCCCCGGCCTCAAACAAATCCCACAATGAAGCCCGGCTCCAACCCAACAACAGGTTGGGCATCGATGGGGTCAACAACTGCATTTCGAGCAATTAATTTTGAATTGTTTATGAAGCCGGTAAGTATGAATAAATCTAAATATATGCTAATAAAATCTTGGGTTTATATAATTAATAATATTATTATTGGCAGTAATCTGGCTGACTGACTTATTTAAATTTTAGGCTCTACTTGCAGATTTGGCCAGCAAGCTGGACGGCGTCGGTCGGCTTAGTGGGAGTTATGTCCCTTCGCCAAACTCAAAACAAGTCGCGGAAAAAGTCACGAATCAAATGACATACCTATCATCATCCGGGTGCGTGTAGGGTTGCGTACGGTTGCGTCTAGGGTTACCTATCATCCTACGGTTGCGTGTAGGGCTGCGTAGGGTGTCTATCATCATCCTACGGATGCATGTAGGGCTGCTTATTGTGTGTAGGTTGGTTGTTTGCGTAAGATGAGGGGTAGGGTTAGGTATAGGGTTAGGCGTTAGGGTTAGGGTTAGGGGTATGGTTAGATGTGAAAATGTTCACGTAGGAGGTCGAAATAGTGGCCGACAATCTGACGCTTGTGGGAGTGGCGCCACTGAAACTCTGCCAAATATGACGCCAATAGCAGGCGGCTGGTGCCCAGTCGCTGGCGAATTGTTTGTTTCACTAGCATCCACAGGCCTTCGATTGTTTGTGTGTGTATGTGACTGTGCGCAACGTCGACGAAGCTGGTCTGGTGGACTACTACCTCGTGCAGATAGATGCCATGCCTTAAGTTTGCGACGTTGCTGTAGCCGCGCCAAGCGTCAGTCACGATGGTCGTTCCCGGCAGTACGTGATCTGTTATGATCCTCTCCAATGTCGCCGCATCTCTTTTTTGCACAAGCTCCAAGTAGCAACGGCCAGTCTCACGCTCTACTAGCCCGACGATCCAACTACCGTGACGGATGCGACCGCGCTGATACTTTCGTCGGAAGAAGTAGCTCTCGTCTACTTCGACCACGATAGATCTGCTGGTCTCATCGAGTCCTCCCAGCTCCATGGTGTGGTGTCTCAACATCCAATTATAGCATTCCTGACGGAAATAATTGTTGTAGTTGACAATGGTGGACCAGCACGTGAGTCTCTCGAAGACCATGACAGTCGTTGAACTTACGCCGGAGAGCCAGTAGTACATCATCATGACTATTTTCTCAGTCGGCATGTCGCTGTTGGCGAAAAAGGACCCCGTGCGAACGCTACACCGAGTATCACAGCGATGACAACGCCAACCGTATCTGTCGCTACATTGCTGGCGAGGCGCTAGCGACATAGGTCGGTTGCACGAGCTGCACAGTTGCATATTCCTTATAAGACTATGCTCAGCTAGCCACCGCAACCACGCATACTTATCAGACATTAATGCATACAGATCTGCAGGAGTTACGTCCGTGGCAACTAAGTCGTGCGTCGCAAGAACGTTGTTGGTTATGTGTGTGGGAGCTCTCTGTCTAACTGCTATTTTGATGTTGTTGTTTGATTCGTGACTTTTTCCGCGACTTGTTTTGAGTTTGGCGAAGGGACATAACTCCCACTAAGCCCCACTAAGCCGACCGACGCCGTCCAGCTTGCCGGCCAAATCTGCAAGTAGAGCCAAATTTTAGGCTATCCTCCGAATAATGGGCACAAAAGATGGCGGCCAAAAACAGGGCCTCAATCACGTGTCAATTGCGCACTTCCGGGCGACCTAATTTCTAGGACACACGAGCAAAGCTGCAGGAGATGCGGAAGCTGCTGCTTGTGAGTCCCAGCCATCTAGTTTAGCCCCAATCTATGCAGCGTAAGAGGGATACTCTCGGCGGTGGTGGTAGTCGCCGGAAAACCTTAAATTAAGTTGCTGGAAGTGCGCAGTTGACACGTGACTGAGGCTCTGTTAGAGTGTTTTTGCGGCCGCCATCTTTTGTGCCCGTTATTCGGAGGATAGCCAAATTTTAAATACCCTCTACTTTATGATATTATTAATAATAGTATTAATAACGATTAATATGGTGAGCTGCAAAATGGGAAACGTTTCCAAGGCAGGCAAAAGAAAACAGTTTGATGACACCTTGAAGTCTTTACTCAAAGCATTTGAGATGAATGGCACCAATTGGGAGGCTGCCTCTCAAGACCAAAATGCATTCCGTGCAACTCTACACAAGGATGCGGCTACATGTGAAGCAAGCAGAACAGCAAGACTGATTAAAAAAAAGGATGGACAGAAAGGCGACTGCAGGAGATCCCCTCCCTGGCACAACACTCATTCCCTGTCCTCACTATCCAAGAACTTTTCGGGCCTGCATTGGCCTCATCAGTCATCTTCGTACTCACACTTGATGAAAATAGTGGTCCTCATCATCTTGATGGACAACACAATAAATAACAAATAAAATAATAATAATCCTGTATTGTATATTGTTACATTTGGCTTAGTAAATACGGAATGTAGGTATTTTAAATATCAGATTTTACAATCATAATCTTCGTTGGTTCACCAGCTCTTAACTCCACTGGAAAGTTCTGGTTGTTTGTCCACCTCTGGACTTCAGTCTTGTTCCAGAACTTGAGTTTTGCATGCGCATCTATTCTACAGTTCCTTGGCTCTCAGGCAGATGCACTCTGACTTTGTGGTTACTCACTGAACCAAATGTTTACCACATTGTTTATGTCTGCATCTGTGTGAAACTGTTGGCTCTTGAGAGCTTTTCTTTAACATCTGAACAAATTAAAATCACATGGGGACAAATCAGGACAATAGTCTGGGTGCTGCAGAATTTCCCACTTCTTCCAGGCTAACGCTTCCTGCACAGTCTTGTCTGTCAAGCAGCAAGTGGTTCAAACACCATCCGTCGGTCAACATCTGTGTGAACACTTCTTTTTCTTCTTTTATCAATATTTGCTTATGCGGCTAGGCGAGCCAGGGCGATCTCAGTCGTTGATATGCCATGATGTTATGCAGTCTTAAGGTGTCAGTGACTCCTTCAGTCCATTTTATTCTCTGTCTTTCCCTGCCTTTTGGTGTTTCGATTTTTAGGTTGTATGCTCTTGCTGCTGGCATCAAAGAATGAAATGGTTTGGCCATTTAATGAGAATAATTTTATTCTCATTAAATGGCCAAACCATTTCATTCTTTGTTTCTCAAAAATTTGATGATAGGTGTTGTTCCATCAGTTCTTGTGATCACGTTGTTTCTCACTCGATCTCTTCTGGTTTTATTCACAGCCGTTCTCAAACATCTCATCTTACAGGTGGTTAGTTTTCTCTCACGAACACACTTTCTGATATTGCAATTTCTTATGAACAACATTTTAAACTGTCCCAACTGACACAACTAATTCTTTCACTAGCGAACGTAAACTTTGACAACGGTTCACATGTATTGCTGCATCACATTTGGTGATTGAATTTTCTGTTGCAATTGTGAAATTCTGTCGCCCTTGAACTGGCGATAGAAGATCTAGTTTGAACTCATGTCCTTACCAAAACAGTCGTTCCCAGACTATCACTGTAGCCTTCGACATACATTTGTTGCCATACACTGCCTGCATTTTTTTTAAAATTTCCATAGGTCAACAACCTTAAAAGAACCAACTGAAATATCACTCTTTAAGGACTGTAGCTGGCTTCTTTGGGCAGTTGTAAACCACAACGCAACATACTGACCGCTTTTTCCAGCATGAATGTTGAAGAATTTACCATATAAAGTAAAGATAAAGGTCCTTTTACATGCCAGTGGCACATCAGGCGTATTTTTATAGACCACTCGGTCCACGGTGGGTGATTTGGTCAAAATCACACTGGCCACCTTTACTTCTCATGACATTAGCTGGTACCCATTTAAGGCTGTGTTAACCTTGAAGCCAAAATAATGATTTTGACAAAAATCAGACTGCTTTCGGATCTGACACCACAACCTTCAGATCCACAGGCAAACATCTAGCCACTACACAACTCCCAAATTACCATATGCTACGGACCAATTTTTAAAACAATTAATATTATATTGTTCATTCTGCATATTCCACAGAACAAGTATGTCATGGCTTTCGGTGTGCTGGCTTTCACAAGCTGTGTGTCCTACATTGTTTACATGAATGTGACAGATGATAAAAGGAAAGACAGCTATGTGACATTGGATGAAGACGGAGGACTGACAGTCAGAAAGAGAACGTCACGATGGTACTAAAGTCTGCTGCCGCTGATATATTTCTAAACTACCCATGATTTCAGCAGCAGTGCATTACACTGTTTATGTAAATAAGATTTGAAATGTTGTATAATATTATTATTACATTATATTACAATATGCAGAAATGTGGTGTTTAATCCTTTTTTAAACAGTAAATTAAACTTGTGGTGACAACCATAAAAAACATGCTAAACATTGTCTTTCCAAATATGAGATGCTTTTTAGGAAGGCAGTGGATTTATTCTTGATTTCCTCACAATAGGACTCTGGGATCCACACACAGTGCACATGAACTAAACAAAAAATAACTGTAACATTGAATCTAAGGAAAGGATCAGCAGTTGTCTTTAGTAAGCGTACCATTGTCCCAGTTAATCAAATGCCATCTTCACAATAACTGCAATAGATCTCCAGTACTGTATCTTTCCTGCTCTTGTTTTACTTACTCTTATGTGGCTGCTCCTCAATCTCTTTAAGTGATCCTCCAAAGTGTATCACTGTCTGCTTCTTATTTGCTTACCTTCAGCTTTTCATGGACCACTGGAATTTTTTTTTTTTTTTCAAAGAAAGAATAATCTTTGAAATATTACCATATTTCACAGTTCAGTAATAAATTTTTTTCTGTACTGAGTCAACTGAGATGTGGCTCTTGAGAAGAATGTTGGGAATACCTTGGACTGCCACAGTAACTAACAATGAATGTCTGGAAATGGCTAATAAAAGTAGAACATTAAATACAACAAAGAGAAGGAGATAAACAAAGTTCTTTGATCACGTAATGAGAAAAGGAGCACTGGAAATTATTGTAACGACTGGAAGGATCACTTTGCTGAACACGGATCAGCTAGGCTGAAAGCCACAGATAATAAAGATCACAGCCTAGATATAAACCAAAACATAATGTACCATCTACATAGTGAATGCAGAAACAGTGTATGATATGTGATAACTTCCTGTCAAAAAACAGACAGACAGCATGTTGCAGGACCATTCAGATAACTTTACTTAGGAGCCAAAATGGGGATGGTGGCGGTCCAGAGACACTAGCCCCAACATAGAAAGATCATAATTACATTTGGCAGGTGATCTGCAGGTCAGATTTGGTCCACGTCTGCCAGTTTAAAAAGCCCTGACATATTGTATTACTTTACGTTTCGCACTGATTCAGTGCTAAAGAGGTAGGTAGGTAATTGTACCCCACCAGGACATCACACAAACGATAAACACCCACTGACACAAAGTGCCACCATGCGGATGAGGATCACCTGTAGAGAGGTCCCGGAAACCCTGTTCATGGTTTGGGCCTTATTTATGGCCTGGCTATATTTAGGGCCCCCCACAAAAGACTGGATGGGGCTTCAAAAAAGCCAAAAATTGCATCCCACAAGGGGATGACGAGATTTATTATTGGAGAAGTGGAATAATAACAGTGCTACAGAAATCTGGTTTTTCCATTGTAAAAAATTTTTTTTCTGAAATGTTTGAGAAAGAGAAGAAACAACGTTTCACACCCCGTAAGAGGAACTGCTCTATGACTATTTTACTTCACCAGAATACTGCACTCGTCATTGTTCATAATGATACATTTGTTGTTGTTGTTGGATATCTGCTGTAAAAGTTTCTGGGACTGAAAGAATTAAGCAACTGGGGTGAAGATCTGAACCAGAAGGCTGTGGATGGACATAATTAAACGAGGCATGCTATAAAACTGCTGCTTGGTATAAACATTACATCGAAAATACTGAATACACAAATTTTAATTTGATTTAAAAACGAGTTTTAACTCTTTAAATATCAAATATAGATTAACCCCAAACTCACCCGCCAAATGTTGCCCGGAACTTTTGCGGGCATAAAGGGAGGCTAGGACGATTAGCAATTGTTGGAACGTTTTATTCTGAATTGTGTCCCCTGTCATTGAGATTGCCAAATTACACTTTGCTTTCTAGCCAATTTTCTAAAACGATAATAATTTAATGCATTCCCCGTGTGGGTTCAGGAGCCCAATTGTGAGGGAAAACAAGAAAAGACCAGATGCCTGTCCAGAAGCATGTCATAAGAGGACTAATTGGTAACTTTCTTTAATGTCTGAGTACATCTGCCCCAGAGGCAAGGAATCAACAGTCTGCATGCAAATGAGTCAGACCTGTGAAACGCATGTGCACGCAACAGTCAGTTTCTGGAACAGAACTAGAATCCAGAAGAAGACGAACAACCAGAAATTTCCCCCGGAGTTTACAGCCAATGAATGTGATGAAAAATCAGCATAAAGTTCTCAATTGTTTCGCGTTCATCTGCATGAGAGGCGAGATATGTAGAATGGATGTGCGCAAAACATTCAAAAACCAGCCCAGAGGAGATCGTTCGGCAGGACTTTTTCGCCGGTGAACACGAAGAGTTAAAAAAAAAACGCGTAGAGAGTAAAAGATAAGCAGTCTTTGGATCGTTCAAAGAAGAAAATGGAAAGCTTCTAGGTTACTGGCCTTTAAAAATGTGTAAATCAAGGTATTTACAAATACGAGGTCATTCAGAAACTAACCCTCCTCCCCCTCACCCCAAGAGAATAATTAAGATCGGATCCATGCCTCAGATTTTGAAATGGCAATATTCTTCTTCTTCTTCTTCTTTGCGTTCACCAGCTGTAAACTCTGGTGGAAAGTTCTGGTTGTTCGTCCACTTCTGGACTGCAGTCCTGTTCCAGAACCTTAGTGTTGCGTGTGCATCCGTTTGACAGATCTGACACACCTGAGTGTAGACTGTTAGTTCCTTGCCTCTCAGGCAGATGCACTCCGACTTCGAAGGAAGCTCCCAATTAGTCGACTATTACGACATGCTTTTGGGCAGGCAGTGGGTCTATTCTTGTTTTCCATATAATAGGGCCCCGGAACCCACACGGGGGAAATGGCAATATTGTATGCAAGAAATGACAGCTTTTTCCTGGGGAAAAAAGTACGTTAATCCGTTCAAATAAAGGGCGAGAAGCCCTACAAAGAGCAGGTTGTTGTAGAATTTCTAACGGGCGTGGGTGGTTATCATCTGTGTGCCGTGTATGGAAATTGTGAATTTGAAAGAAACAACAGTGGTTGATGGGTTCAGAGAGTTCACGTTTAAAAGCAGTTAAAAAAAAAAAAAAACACTACAAAAACTTCAGGTCAAAAGAGTTCTTGCCAGACATGAACACTATAAAGGTGGCACAAGAAGACTAATATAAACCCACACAGAACTGGTGTTATCCGTCGTCTCACGCTGGGCGGTATACTGAAGATGCGATCAGAGCGCTTATGGATTATACGATGGGCAGTAAGGATAATATATTGATTAAATAACTAGAGAGTCAACGTTTCAGAAAGAGAAGGGACAGGCCTGAAAATGTTATTTATGCTATCAAGAAATGGCTCTACGAACCAGGAAAAAAATGATAACAGCAGGAGTTCATGCCCATGGCTAGAACATAGAATGCGACAGAGATTATCAAAGAAAATATGATGTGTACAGAACATAATGCGTTATATGTGTCGTCAGTCCTGGACATTTCTGGTTGTTTGTCTACTTCTGGATTTGAAAATTGTTCCAGAACTTGAGTTTTGCGCATACCTTCGTTTTACAGATCTAGGTTATTTGTCATGGTAGTTTTTATTATTAGGGTAGCCATATGAGGTAGATGAGAACCGTTGTGGTATAGCGGCTAGATGCTCGTCTGCGGATCCGAAGGTCGTAGGTTCAGGTCCTGACAAAGCCGAACTTTTTTTTCTCCAAAGATGACCATGGCTCCCAGGTAGAACACAGCATTGAATGTATAGCATGTAAATTTCTGGGAAGAATAGACGGCCATTGTGATATGACCTATTGCCGACTGGTCTATAATATACAAGTCTAGCCCTATATGCCCAGCACGTCTGATAGAGTGAAGAGGGGTCCTATACGGGTAGGGGTAATAGTCTGTGTAACAACCTGCTTGGCGTGTTGGCGTGTATTTGAATCTGGTTCAAGGCATTGATGGTTTCCACTGAGTTGTCGTTGCCAGGTCAACCTCGCTTGGGTAAAACACAACTTTCCATTAATGAAAAGCGGTTGGCGTTACATTGACAGCAACAGTCATGAAGTGCAGATGTGTCTAAAATAGGTGTTTCCCATATTTTCCAGGTCACGCCCCCCGTTGAGTATATGTCAAGTTCCCCACGCCTACTATGAGTATGTGTCAAGTTCCCCACGCCTACACTGAGTATATGTCAAGTTCCCCACGCCTACTTTGATTTTATGTCATGTTCCCCACACCTCCCTTGACAAATGTCAAATTAGTAGTAGTAGTAGTAGTAGTAGTAGTAGTAGTAGTAGTAGTAGTAGTAGTAGTAGTAATAGTAGTAGACTGCACATGTCCATGTTTAACCGAGGGTCGGAAACCATTGCTGATCTCCGCCCTGTTCGGTTATATTTGTGGAGACAGTTTGGGTTGTCTTTGGATCAGGTTTTTCTTTTGCGTTGTCTGATTTCTGTCCCTCGCTGCTTTGTTTTTGGTGGTTTCTGGTTTAGCTGTCCGAGTAGTTTCGTGCTTGGCTGGTCTTGCATGGTGTTCCGGATCAGTGAGATGGCTACACTGCTGTCATGGCGGGTTAGGGTGATTGGCCGGTTGTTGTAGGCGCTGAAAAAGGACTAGCGGTCTTGTATGGGGCGACTTTGCGGTGGGAGTTAGCGTAGGTTTTGGTGCTGCTTATGTGGGCTTCTTCTACCTTGGCTGTCTGGCGCTGCTCTGTAGTCTTGGGCTGGCTGTGGTTGAATCGATGATGCCTGTGGTGCCTCTTGAGTTAGTGTTGGCGGCGCCGGATGTGTTCTGCGCTAGGTCTCGGTGATGGGATCTGCTCAGTCCATTAGCCATCTGCTTGCTGGGTCCAGTCTAATTTCTTCTGCCTAGCGGGAATGTTTTATAGCAGTATTCTTCTATTATGGCTGCTGCTGGCTGTGGTTCCAGTCTTGCATCCCTTGATTTGCGATTGGCCTTAGACCTGTTTGCTTCTTTATGTCGCCTTATCTTGTGTTCATTACCTCGATTGTCGCTTGTAGTTCTCTGCTTAATTTTGAGTTCTCTTAGTTGGCTTTCTGCAGTTTGGTCTATGTTTCAGCTAGAATTTTCTTGATCGATGTGATTTCGTTCATGCGTAGCTGCTGCGTCTGTCTCATCTCTTGAAAGTTGACATCTTCTTGGGCAGGCTTGTTTGGAGATTTGGTGTTTGGATTGTCTGCCCCTTCTGAGACTGGATATGTCGTCCCCCAAGCACCACTAAGTATATGGCAAGACCCGCACGCTGATCTGAGTATATGGCAAGACCCACACGCCCCCTTGAGTATATTGCAAGGACGACCCTCCCCCCCCTCTTTTACATAAAAAATGTAATTAAAAAGAGTACAATGGATTCCGTCAGAAGAAAACAGAAGGTATGTGGATACAACAGTTTTAGTCAAAGCCATCAAAACAGGCAAAAGACGATTACCATATAATTGACAGACCATTATTATCATCATCAAAGAACAGTGTTTGTCTCTTTCTTATTGTTGTATATAGAGATCTACTTTCATTAGCTTCTTTCAAGCAATCGTTGCTAGTTACTTTGGCCGTCCAAGGTATTCGTAACATTCGTCTTAGAAACCATAGCTCTGTATGCTGCTTCCAAATTCTTCCTAATTTGTTCACTGACATGCCAAGACATTTTAGACCAGAGCAAAGTCATTATTCTACACCTTAGAACAAGACACAATCGACTTCTCAGAAAAAAAGTACAGAAATTTTAAAATTGGCGAATCAGTCATGTGTACACTGGATTGGCACCTGAGACAACAGATCACGTCCTCCAAGACTGTATGAGCTAGAACATATCAAGGCAAAACTTTTGGCCAGGAGAAACACCGGTTCAAGCCCAACTTTACGGGTCGCTGAGTTAATAACAATAGACAGTAAAGTTCATTCTAGAGACATAATTGCAGAGACAGAATTGTAGTCAGATATTTCAAGCGAACGAAATAAGAAGAAGAAGATGATGAAGAAGATGAGAAGAAGAAGAAGAAGAAGAAGAAGAAGAAGAAGAAGAAGAAGAAGAAGAAGAAGAAAGAAGAAGAAGAAAGAAGAAGAAGAAGAAGAAGAAGAAGAAGAAGAAGAAGAAGAAAAAGAAGAAGAAGAATAAGAAGAAGAAGAAGAAGAAGAAGAAGAAGAAGAAGAAGAAGAAGAAGAAGAAGAAGCAGAAGAAGAAGAAGAAGAAGAAGAAGAAGAAGAAGAAGAAGAAGAAGAAGAAGAAGAAGAAGAAGAAGAAGAAGAAGAAGAAGAAGAAGAAGAAGAAGAAGAAGAAGAAGAAAAAGAACTAAAACAAAATGTAAGTATAACGGGTTATCACAAGTACAGATGCACTCAATTTTCAAAATTGCTTGACCCCCTTGAAACCTCCTTGCGCTCCTTAAGGGGAAGGGGCACCCCAAGGCTGGAGTTACCTGGTCTAAAATATCATACTAAGTAAAGGACCCTTTTCCACGCCTTTAGGTGTATTGGGCTAGACCTATATTTTATAGACCAATCGGCACTTGGTGTGTGGTTGTGGTCAGCACCACGCCGGCCGCCTTTACTTCTCAGGACTGCACCTGGTATCCATTCAAGGCTGGGTCGATCTGGGAGCCAAGGTCCTTTTTGAAAGTCAGGCTCCGCCAGGACCCGAACCTACTATCTTTAGATTTGCAGGCTAGCGTCTACACCACGGCGACTCTCGGTCTAATTTATACCAAACAGAAACCCCTTTCTCCTTTACCTGCAGGTGTCTAAGATACACTTCTTCGAACCCAGGATCTGTTTGGCAACAAAAACAGAAGGTTTTTCTTCATCGACTAGGAGTCTGTTGATAATAAAATACAAATATTTTTGGATAAAGTTATCAAACTAGGCCTAACTCCGGTCAATTGATATGGATTGCGTCGAGTGAGCGATTTTCAACCCCATCAGGGCCGCCAACGAGGGATAAACACCCAGTGACACAAAGTTCCACCATTCGGATGAGAATCTCCCTGCCACAAATCCCAGAAACCCGGTTGAACCGTTAGATTAGATCAGGGCCCCGTCTACAGCAAGGGTGGGACTTTAAATAACAAAAAATTTCGGGCCTTAAGGGTCGAAGTTATGGATGGCATTAAATCTGGATCTTTCCAGTTACACATCAACGTTCCAGTACCGTTGACATAACTATTTTAGCCTTTGCCAGCCAGCACCTTCAGGGGACACACTTGATAAAACTGATATAAGCCTCAATTGGCTACAGCTTTTAAAGTTAAGAAAAAAGTATAGATCCCGTTTAGGGGCATCGGGCACATGGAACGAGCACCCGTATTTTTACAGACCAATCGGCATTAGGAGGGTAATATGGTCAGAATTACGCCGGCTGTCTTTACTTCCCCAGGACATACATCATGGTACCCATTTTATCCTGGGTCGACCTGCGACGCCCTATACCATGATACAAAATACACACAGCCAGCAGTGGGTTTCGATCGCGGTACGTTGAAATTACTAGTCGGACTGGCAACGCCTAAGCCCCGGACGCCGCAATGTCTACTGCTTTTACCCCCTTCCCCTCTAGTATTTCTAGGCTGACACCAGAGGATACATATTCAAACACATTCATTAGAAACTAAAGGTGATGTCTTGAACAGTGTCGCGAAAGATGTCCCAAATAACCGGGAATTTTCTGATTATGAGTTTCGAACACCGCCCCCGGCTCTCTAGCGAAGTTGGTTAAACCTGACTTTCGCGGCGGCCGGGTGACGAACTCCTTGTGGTCCGTCCCGGGGGTAGGCAGAAAAGCCAAATTTCTCCCAGATTAACGGTACCTATAATGGAATCAATGCCGAAGGGTTGCGATATCCATAGTACCGAGCCAAAGGGTTTACAACTCATGGTTTCTGGATACGTAAAAAAAAAAAAAAGAACACCGCCTTCTCTAGATATAGAGTGGACCGTGGTTTCGAATAACTTCGCAGCAGTGTGGTCATTGTTATCATCATCATCATCATCACTAAGCATGCGAGAGACCACGGCTTTCTCTATTTAGAGACGGCGTTGCTACAGACTAACCTTGGCGGTCATGTTTCACTTTAGGTTGCCTGAGCTACAATTTCTTTAAAAAAAGGGGGGGGGGGTGAGGATGGTCTCTTTCCCCTTTGGTTTTCTTTATTGGGACGGGAATGGGGGAGCCGTCCCTTTCACTTTTTTATCTAGACAATTTGTATGTCAGAAAAGGAGGGGGAAGAGCGTGCACACACTAATGTTTTCTTTGTGGCGGCATTAAATAGTGTGTGTGAGGGGTGTATTTTAGCCGGTTAAAAGAAGCGCGAATTTTTTTTTTTTTTTACCAACACCAAGTACCAAGATTTTAGCGAAACCCTTGTCTTCAATCATAGAACATACATAACTTGTGCTTGCCACAAATAACCAGCAAGACAGCAAGATGCACTATGTTCTTGGCGTGATACGAACACGTGTTCATCTTAAACCAAAGCTTATAAAACTGTGTGTGGCGACACGTTAGTGTGTCTGCTGTATTGTTAAGATGTGTGGCGCTAAGGTATTTCTATAGCCGATATCTCATAAAAGATTAATGCAGCCTCTGGTTTGCTAGTGGACCGAATTACTGTGTCGAGAAATTAAGTTTGTTCAAAATATGTGCCCCCACTATGTACAGTTTTGAAAGCTCTGCCTTTAAACACTACATACAACACGTCCTTGGCAGACTGACCCAGTACGCTTCGTGCTGGCTTCGGCAAACTTCGCCAACATTCGGCTCACTGACGTAAAATACTTATGAATATTAATCAAGGCGAAGGTCAACAGCGAGGTTTATAGTCGTCTGCCTGTAGTTTGGATAGAATCCAGGACGGTGCTCTAGCAGGGAAGCGTCCATTTATTTAGTCGCCTTGTTCGAATTATTGTAATTGTTTGTTGTTGAGCGTTCAGTGGATAGTCTATACAGTTCAAGATGCCAGCGACAAATGATCAGCTTTCGAAATACGAAAGGGTAAGAGCACAAATAATTATTATTTATTAATATTTAGTTTTTCGCATATGAAATTTGTCCTGGAAAAACAACTCGGTTAGTTGTTTTACTTAACCGACTTATTTCAGAGTTTTGACAGTTGAGTAATAGGTTAGCTAGAAATAGAATGTGTTGCACAACTTGAAAAAAATAAAAATATCTCTTTCATGGTTTTTAAGACTGGAATCTGATTGTGTTGTATGTAATTAGCCATCGTTGAATATAGTCTTTGAACTCACCCCCCCCCCTTTTTTTTTCCATATTTTACCCCACGTTTATTCACCCCAACCTCTGAATATCCCGTTCTCTGAAGCTGATTTTTCACATTTAGAAATGAGTAAGCAAACAGTTTTAAGGACCCATTTCACGCCAATGGCGAATCGGGCATATGAGGCTAGACATTTGTATAGCTCAGTCAGCACTCAGTGATATGATCACATTGTCTGTTCTTTCTAGGACTTTATCTAGTACCCATTTAAAGCTGGGTCGACCTGGGAGCCAAAGTCACGTTTAAAAAAAAGTCCAGCTTCATTCCCATTGAAACCCACGACCACCGGATTCGCAGGCGAGTGCTTGGTCGCTACACTACTAATACTATAGGTTAGGTTAGTTGCCTATCCTTTACAGGACGTTGCAGAACCAACCCCAACAGCCCCTGGCTGTTGTGTGGTTTTTCTAGGCAAATTTACGTCCAGTAGTTTGCCACTGCCTTCTGGACGGTCGGCTTTCTTGATACCACTGTCGAAACCAACGCAAGGTGCATGACCAGCAGCTGGGATCGAACCCGGCACCCCGGCATTACGAAGTGTTCGCATGGACTTGGCCACAGAGCCGACTACACTACTATAGAGTGGTACATAAAGGACGCTTGTAAACAATTTTTCAAGTACCCAATCAGTAGGCTATTAGCAACAGTGCCTGGGTTTTAGTAGACGAATCCCCTGTGTGGGTTCCAGGGCCCTACTATAGGCAAACAAGAATAGATCCAAAGCCTACCCAAAAGCATGTCATAAGAGTCGACTAATTAGGAGCTTCCTTCAAGGTTGGAGTGCATCTGCATGAGAGGAAAGGAACCAACAGTCTGCTTACAAATGTGTCAGATCTGTCAAATGAATGCACACACAACACTCAGATTCTGGTACAGGACTGCAGTCCAGAAGTGGACGAACAACCAGAAATTTCCCTCAGAGTTTACAGCTGGTGAACGCAAAGAAGAAGTGGACAAATTATGCGCAGTGTAGGACAGTCAGGGTGGCTAAAAAGATTACATTGGAAAATCTAATAGACAAATGTACCAACCAAACTATCGGCCAGGTTTTCATTTTATTTATTATTTTAAAAAATCAGGTGTTGGAAGTACAGTCACCGAATCTTCTACTCCTTAGCGTTCACTGGCTGTAAACCCCAGACAGAGCTTGAGTTTAGCATGTAATTCATCAAAGTTAACGGATTTGGCTTATGTGTATGCAGACTGTTTGTTCCTCGCTTCTCAGGAGGATGCACACCTATTTCCAAGGACACACAAGACTTGTGGGGGAAGGGGAGGTGGGGGAATTCTGTATTCCCGTCCCATGTCTCCTCATTGGGACCCCGGAACTCAAAGTCTTTGGATAGGCATGAATACTAATGCTGTCTAACTAGGCACGTGATGATGATGGTGTTGCTTATTGAATCATGATGACTTTATGGGGTGCCAAGAGAATGAGAAAGGGCAGCATATTTCTTCTTGTGGGATGGGTGGCATTTGTTAGTGGAAATAATTGAATTACTTTATTGGGTTGTTTTAAATGCCATTTGTAGAAATCAGTAAGGATCATTGTGATCCAAGTGCTCCTACATAAAGAAAACATGTGAGAGAAGGAGGGAAGGGTTGCTCTGCCCCCCCCCCCTTTCCTCCGCCCCCCCCCCCCACTAGATTACACATTTTCTAGTCACGAATTGGGGTAGGTGGGTGTCCCAACATCATGGTTCAGAGTGTTACAGATAACAAAACAGCAAGAAATGTGAAAACTACAAGATATCACTGTTGTTCAGAATGTGAATTAGCCACTGAAATCTAAAGTGACTTCGTTACAGAAAACACGACAGCAAGAAATGTGAAAACTACAAGATATCGCTGTTGATCAGGATGTGAATTAGCCACTGAAATCTAAAGTGACTTCGTTACAGAAAACACAACAGCAAGAAATGTGATAACGACAAGATATCACTGTTGATCAGGATCTGAATAAGCCACTGAAATCTAAAGTAACTTTTTGTTACAGAAAACACAACAGCAAGAAATGTGAAAACTAAAAGATATCACTGTTGATCAGGATCTGAATTAGCCACTGAAATCTTAAGTGACTTCATTACAGATAATACAACAGCAAGAAATATAAAAACTAAAACATATCACTGTTGATCATGATCTGAATTAGCCATTGAAATCTAAAGTGACTTCTCTCATTGACTTCGTGTATCTCTCTTTCCATTTAATGACCTCACCTGTTCCTGCCTCATTGTATGCAAACAATTTGGATTTGAATGCATGTATACTTAAAAGTAAGTGAAGGACCTTTTCATGCCAGTGCATATTGAGCAAATAATGAATCACTCATTATTGTTTCTAAAATTGACACTCACTGAGTGATGTGTTGAACATTGTGCTGACTGCCTTCACTTCGATTTTAGGCTGTGTTGACCTGGCAGCCAGTAAATTTTGATAATATCCACCCATTGTGGATTTGAACACAAAGCCTCTGAGCTGAAAGGCTAGCTTCTGCTACTGTGCTATCGCAACTCCCAAAGACACTTATAATGCATGTAAAATAGTTGTCTCTATTCTAATAGGTTAATTAGCTTGGAAGTGTTTAATTTTTCATACCAGTTTTGTTGTTGTTTTGGTAGTGGTTGCAGAGTAGTGTTCATGTTAATTTTCTACAGATTGAAGCATTTGTGAAAGGCTTTAAACTGTCTAGTACAGCCTATAAGCAAGTCATGACATTGTTACATCAGGAAATGAATAATGGTCTGAAGACACAATCACACAAAATGGCAGACATTAAAATGTTCCCTACATTTGTGAGGTCACTCCCAGATGGTTCTGGTAAGCGTTTAATTTTGTTTGAAATCTTTGCATTTATACTTTCTACATTAAAATACATTTTTGTTAAGTATTTTAGAATGAGATGTCTCCCTGTGTGTTCTGGTGCCCATTTTGGGGGCAAAAAAATAGACGCCCTAAACCCTAACAAGTTTCTTGTGCAAGGCATCTAATTAGGGATATTTCCTTCAAAGTGCCTTGTGGGAGAGCATGTACAGTTCGGAGGAGCAGATGGATCACCACAGTCTGGTGAGATTGATGCAGCGGGGAGTGACAAAAGGTTCTGGTAGATGCTCGAGGAAAGGCAAGACAGGACGTTTCATCAGAATGTTACTTGCACCATTAGTATTGGAACTCTTCGCTGGCTGCTGAAGATGGGGACGGAGCGCTTATGGAAATGCCCCGAGTTCTGTGATGTCGGTTCTTAAATCAAATCAATCAAATCAAATCAATCTTTAAAGTCAGAGTGCGTCTCCCTGAAAGGTGAGGAACCAACAGTCTGCATACAAATAAGCCAGACCTGTAAATGAAAGTAGCCCTAAACTCAAGTTCTGAAACTAGATCAAAGTCCGGAAGCCGATGAACAATCAAAATGTTCTGTGATGTGATCAGCATTATGCCGGCTGCCTTTACTTTCCAGGACTAAACCTGGAATAAATTTCAGTTTGGGTTGACTGAAATACATATTTATTTTAGAATTTTTGTTTTAAATCGAAATTTTTCTTTTTGCGGAATCAAACCCAGTGTAGCTAGAGAAAATATTAGTAAAGTTTAAATTAATATACAAGAAATTATGAGAAAGAAAACTAGGTAATTAAACCTTGTTATAAAAGCTTAAAATTCCATTCAAGAAATACTGTGAGTATGGGCTGCAAACAATTACGAAGTTGATGACTTCTAAAAATTGAGTTTAATTTTACATTATGTACACACAAAATGATAGTATGTTATTTGCATATTTCACATTTAAGTTGATTATAAAGATAAACGTGTAACACTGTATGTCTCTAATTTTGTCTCTAATATAGAAAAAGGAGAGTTTCTAGCATTGGATTTAGGAGGAACAAATTTCCGTGTTTTACTTGTTACACTGCAAGGTCATGACATTGATATTCAAAGTAAAACCTATCTGATACCACAACGGATCATGTTAGGAACAGGAGAACAGGTAAGGGAGGACATAATGTTTTCTAGGCTTTCAAAATTGTTGGTTCTATATTGTTATCCTTTTTAAATTTATATCAATCCCTTTCAAATTTAACGGTATAATTATAGAGCTTGCTCTTTCTATTTAATAATCACATTTTTACATTTGTGCGTGTCTTATGGCATTTCAAATTTTTAAAGCATAAAGAATTACAAGGTAAAGATGAAATTATAAAATCTATTAAAACTCTTGATGGGATGAGAAAGCTGCTGGTCCAGATTGTAACCTAGAAAAATATAAATGCTCTGAGAAGTGACTAAATTTAAACAAGATTGTCTGAAAGTTGTCTGCAAACCATTCTAGACAAGGTGACAGAAAAACTAGATGAGGGAATTTTAATTTAACAATAGTAAAACTCTGTTCACGATTTAATTTTCTGAAGCTTAAGTGGGAGACAGAAGAAGAAGATAGTTAAGAAAGAACAGATCTGGAATAGAAATTTCAGGATTTAAAAAAAAAAACTGTATCGTAAGCTCAAATGTAAAAAAAACCTATTTATGCCAGAGGCACACAGACTTATTAGGCTGATATTTTATAGACCAATCAGCAGCTGGTATTGGATGTGGTCAGTATCACACTGGCCGTCTTTTTCTCTTCTTAGCTAATCACCTTGTACCCATTTTAGGCTATTTCGGGTTGGAAGCTAAAAAAAAAGCTACTATCCCAGCCTTATGCAAGCGTGAAGGGCAAGCTAATAAACAAATATTTTCTCACATTTTTTTAATGACCTCAATGATAGAAACCATTCAGGTACATAAATGAGCAATGTTTGTTTGGGTAACAGCCAGAGATTTGTTTTTCGCAGATAGCCTATTTATGCATCAAAGAGATCTATTGTCTTCACACAGTTTTTTTTATAGAATATGCAGTGCTGTTGAAACAAAATATATTTCCTGCGTATATATGTGTGTAAATCACATGACATTCTCTTTACTGTCTTGCAAACCTGCATGATTTTTATTGTTTATATTATTCGTTGAAATGGTGTCTATGAGTTGTAAACATGTAGACCTCCATGGTTCTTTTTCTTATTCCATGAAGATATTTTAGAAAAACATGGTTTTTCAAGTCATTAAAACAACAAATACATGTAAGTAACTGCCATTTTAAATGAAACATCACAAGTGAAACTCTAAAGGGTGAAAATCATAAAAACCATGTGCTTGAAAAATTATTATTCATGAATGAATCTTTTGCTTCCAGTAAAACATTTTTTCATGCTCGGGTTTTTATAATGCAAGATAAAATGTTCGGTAATGAGAGAAATTAGTTGTTAAAAAATTCTTGGCATCCAGTCATTTTTTTTTAATGTTTACTTATCACAGTGCTTCCTCATTTAAAATTAATGTTGCATTCTTAAAATCTTGAAGGTTTATTATAAGAATTGCCCCACCGTGGCTCACTTGGCTCTTGATCTTTTTTATTTCTTTGCTTTTTTGAAAAGTGGTCATTTAGTGCAGCGGTTCTCAAACTGAGTATGCCATGGGTGCCACTTCAATAATCAAGAATTTTTCAAAATCTGCTTGAGATCAGCGAAGACAGCAGTTTAAGGTATAAATACCATGAAGGAAGCCAAAAAGAGTTTAGATGCAGGTGTATTCAGAAAACAATGCTGTTGGAAAGGCTGCAGTGTGTTCTCATTGTAATGTAGAGTAAATTTGAAAACAGATACAGGAGTAACTTTCAAGTGACTTGAGGGTACCATTAACTAAACTTTCCATAAACGTACAGGAAAAAAATGAAAAATTCATTCGAACAGTTTCATTATTTGCATTAAAGACAACTGAACATTAAATTTGCAGTTTTTTCTTCTTTTCCTAAATATTCGAACTGCTTTAAGTGTAGGCGTGCCGTGAAATATTTTTTGCCTGACAAGGGTGTAGTGGCAAAACAAATTTGAGAAACACTGATATAGTGTATATAACCTTCACACTTATGTTTGTTTCTACGTTTCTTAATTTGTTTATTTAATTTAGCATTCCTCAGACCCAGACACTTCCTTTTATCTTTCCATGAAATATAAATTCAAGCCCATAATGTTAATGTACTAATGTTAATGTTAAAAGAAATTTTTAAAAATGTAGTATTTAGGAAGTTTAAATGATTTAAAAAAAAATGAATTCAAGGAAGTTACCACACACAACAAAAGTATATTTTGTGAAGTTTATGGAGTAACGTGGCTTGGACATAGATGGAGGAAGGTAGAGTCCCTAAGGACATCCTCTATGGTGAATTACAGACTCTAATACAAAATATAGATGTGTGCAAATAGGACATGAATGATACAGGTTTTGTGGCAGATTCATAGTGAACATGGAAGGTGTTTTGAATCAGCATATCAAGGGAAATGAGATTAAATGGATTATTTCATCTGTTTTCCTTTTTTTATTTCAGCTGTTTGATCACATTGCTGATTGTATTGGCAAATTTGTCTCTGAGCACAATTTGTTGAGCCATACGCTACCACTGGGATTTACATTCTCCTTCCCCTGTCAGCAAGAAGGCTTAGCAAAAGCCCGGTTATCACAGTGGACGAAAGGTTTCCGTTGTGAAGGTGTTGTTGGTGAGGACATCTGTAGACTGCTTCAGGAAGCACTGCTGAGAAGAACAGTGAGTATAACAGTATGGATTTGGTTAATTTTGGCATACTTCAAAATTTCTCATAGAGTTCTTTTGCATCTATGTTATCTCTTATTATCTGTACTTTGTGTAGGTTTTTCCTCTGAAATCTAATTTAATGTTAAAGTTAATTAAAAAGTGTATATCAAATCTTCTTCTTTTTCTTCGGGTTTACAAGTTGTAAACTCTGGCAGAAAGTTCTGAGCGTTCGTCTACCTTCGGACTTGAGTCTTGTTCCAGAACCTGAGTGTTGTGTGCACATCCATTTAACAGATCTGGCTTATTTGTATGCAGACTGCTAGTTCCTTGCCTGTCAGGCAGATGCACTACAAAATATAGATGTGTGCAAGTGGGATATGAATGATACAGGTTTTGAGGTGAATTCGTGGGAACAGGGAAGGTGTTTTGAGTCAAAGGAATCCAACTCTGAAATCATGCTTATTGGGTAGACAGTGGGTATATTATTGCTTTCCCCACAAAAGGACCGGGGAGGGGGGGGGGGAAGTTTCCCAGTACTGTTTAATGTAAAGCCTTTTTACTATCCAAAAAGTCTAAATAAAAAGGACCTGTTCACATTTCGAGGCCTAGGATTAGAGTAACTTTCCTTGCCATTCATGACTCCTTGGGTCGCTGGACCTCTAGTGTGTAGCGGGGGTATTATAATGTGGTTTGGTTTGATGTTTGCTCGGCATATGTAATGTTTGTGGGAGGGTATGGTATTGTGAGTCTGTTTCAGGCAACACAGGCGCCTGTGTACAAGTAAGAAGTACTGAAGGGGGAAGCGCCGCAGGCACTACGATTCTTAGCTGTCGAAACTAATTTAAGTGCTTATTTGCAAGATTTTATTCAAACCATACCTTTCATCAACATAACATATTTAGAAATATGCTTCAATGAGAGACATGACAAGGTGGCAAAAAATGGGCATGATAAATTTAATTTTGTGGCATAGAGACAGCTGATAAATACACAATTTCAGTTTTTCTAAGAAGCTTTTAAAACCCCGGTAAGAAAGATTTAACATTCTTGCAAACAGCAAACACGGTTTAATGATTGAAATAGGGAAAATTGAGTTAATGTGAAAGGTAAATTAAAAAGCATATCAATAAAAATTGTAATAAACAATTAGTAGTGGTAGTAATTTAATCTAAGATAGGTACAGGATATAAGTGACTCCTTGAGTATGAAAGTGCTTGAGGTGGGAGAGCTGGCGAGAGACCACATTTCTTTCAGGCAGACCGTGATGAGAATGATGAGTAATTTAATCAACGATATCGTGTCCATCAACCCTTCTGTATTATAACCATCTCTGATGCTACAGCAATCATGTGTCAAGGCAATGGCTCTATGCATTTTTATTTTAGCAATGAGCTAGGCCTGACACTAACTGACATTACAATATAATCAAATGTATACTTAGTTCACACATTGGGTATGCCCAATGTGCAGGGACGTCGATTGTGATAACAAAACACAAAATAACATTTTATAGGAAGTCGGCATTCTGAAACCCAAGTTCAAGGTGTCTCCTTCGTGCCAAAGAACTGCATGGCTGTTGGGTGAACAGTCGTTAACGAAGGCAGTCAGGTCGTTGTAGGGGCGACGCCTGCTGGTGGATGTAATGTCCTAAGTCCCTTTCCCAGCTAATAGTGAGGGTACTGCTGGGGTGACCATTTGTTAACCCCTCACATAATGCTTCAAGTCACAGTGGACACTAGGCACGACCACTTTTTTTTTTTTTTTTTTTTTTTTAAAGCCGTGGCAGTTCTGCCAGGCGGTGGCCGTTGCATTTTTGCTCCATTTGTAGACTGGAAGGATATAGTTTCGTCACCCAGCTTCTGAGTTGAGTGCATGGTGTGACACTGTGAGCTATGAGTGTTTTTCGTTGGCACAGGAGCGGAGCAACAATGGGGTGACCCGTTTGCTATGATGCTAAAACTAGGATTACCAGATTACCTTCTGTATTATAACTGGGAAATACATATGTAGTTATTGTTGGTGGCAAGAAACCATCAGTGCGCATACACCAAATTAGAGACCAGGCTTCATTGCCATGCTAAATTGGAAATAGAGAGAGTAATGTTAAGGTGCCGTCTTCCTGCATTTAGATGTATTTGGTATATGGGTTTAGCTGCTAACTTTTTTTATAAGTCAGGCGGCACCCATGGATATTGGGGTCAGTATCACACCAGACACCTGCATTTATGACAAAAATATATGGCCCCATTTTGTATATCTATAATAGTGCCCAGACTTTGTGCTTAGGGAGGAGGAACTTTAGAGTCAGTGTTCTTTTAAATCCATCTGAAAAAGGATTCAAATCTATGACTACTAGGCCAACAGGAGAGAGTGTAGTCATTATGCTACAACTGCTCCTGGATATATAGTGCCCATAGTTTAACGTTTTTTTTTTTTAAATTTTAGATAAATCAGCATTCACATTAAAGCCTGTGCCATCACGTAAGAGAAAATATGCACAACCATGTAAATACACATCCCCTTGGGTATCAGGTTACTTAGTAACCCGTATGGTGCCCCAAGATAACTGAGTTAAACAGCTGAACTGAGATTCTTTTGTCGTCTCATTGATACCAGGTTGTATAGCTCAGTGTCACGGTTTTCTGTAATTGTCTTAGTAACCGTAGGGTGCCCCAAGATAACTGAGTTAAACGGCTGAACTGAGATTCTAGTTCTTCGTTTGTCGTCTCATTGATACCAGATTGTAGCTCAGTGTCACGGTTTTCTGTAGTTGTCTTAAAAACCGTAAGGTGCTCAAAGATAACTGAGTTAAACGGCTGAACTGAGATTCTTTTGTCGTCTCATTGATACCAGGTTGTATATCTCAGTGTCACGGTTTTCTGTAATTGTCTTAGTAACCGTAGGGTGCCCCAAGATAACTGAGTTAAACGGCTGAACTGAGATTCTAGTTCTTCTTTTGTCGTCTCATTGATACCAGACTGTAGCTCAGTGTCACGGTTTTCTGTAGTTGTCTTAGAAACCGTATGGTGCTCCAAGATAACTGAGTTAAATGGCTGAACTGAGATTCTAGTTCTTCTTTTGTCGTCTCATTGATACCAGATTGTAGCTCAGTGTAACGGTTTTCTGTAATTGTCTTAGTAACCGTAGGGTGCCCCAAGATAACTGAGTTAAACGGCTGAACTGAGATTCTAGTTCTTCGTTTGTCGTCTCATTGATACCTGATTGTAGCTCAGTGTAACGGTTTTCAGTAGTTGTCTTAGAATCCGTATGGTGCTCCAAGATAACTGAGTTAAACGGCTGAACTGAGATTCTAGTTCTTCTTCTTTTGTCGACTCATTGATACCAGGTTGTAGCTCAGTGTAACGGTTTTCTGTAGTTGTGCGCTCTTCTCGGGTGGCTTGAGTAATGGATTTGTTTATCTTGTTGCAATTTCTTGTCCGCAAGAGTCTGTCCTTTAATAATTCATTGTTTCTTGAATAGTAGCAATCAAAGACACCACTGCGGTCTTGCTAAGCCCATCGATTGTCGGGGAGGGAACAAAAAATCTGACCTGGCTGGAGACCATCTCCTTCCAGACGAACCATAGCCCTGTTAGCCTGTAACCTCACGGCTTCAGTTTTCTTGCACTACGAGGAGGTGGGGTTTACCTGGGTGATCACCGGGTCATTGGTAGGCTACTTAATCTTCACTGTTGACATCTCTACCAAAATAGAGATGCCGGTGCTCCCTTAAAAAAGTGCCTATTATAGTAGCGCTAAAACGAGCTCCGATACTGCGTACTGTGGCTTAACGTCGGGAGGAAAAAAAAAAAGAACACTTACAGGCAGATCGTGATGAGAGCGACGTTCTGCAAAGGATCTGCTACGTGATGATGATGAGTAATTTCATCAACGATATCGTGTCCATCAACCCTTCAGTATTATAACTGGGATATACATATATAGTTATTCTTGGTGGCAAGAAACCATCAGTGCGCATACACCTACACATACGGAGCTGTGGGGTGTATGCTGGTAATGTTTCCCTACGCCGTTTTTGTCGGCTCTGTGGCTAAGTCGATGCCAACGCTTCGTAATGCCGGGGTACCGGGTTCGATCCCAGCTGCGGCCATACGCCTTGCGTTGGTTTCGACAGTGGTATCAGGTGGCCGACCGTCCAGGAAGCAATGGCAAACTACTGGACGTAAATTTGCCTAGTGAAACCACACAACAGCCAGGGGCTGCTTGGGGTTGGTTCTGCAACGTCCTGTAAAAGATATGCAACTAACCTAACCTAACGCCGTTTGTATGTGTTTCTTTGTCAGCAGACCACAGCCTAATGTCTAGAGACACAGAGCCTAACTATTAAAGCACATTTGCAGGGAAGGAAGATAGTGTATGGAGTATCAAGAACACTTTTTTAAAAACTACTGAAGGGGGAAACGGGAGTGTTGGAAAATGAGAATGTTGGTAAAGCTGATAAAGACACAACTGCAGGAGAGGCTTTTCGTGTCTAAATTGTTGAAAGGCGTTTTTTGTTTTCTTCACGTGAGTTTTCAGTGCAGGGCCTGGCATTCGCTGTATCCGTCTATTCTAGACTTGACGATTAAAACGATAATAACACGGAAACTAGGTCACAGCCGTCCCCGCTTCTAGCCGGTTTGCTGCTAAATAATGTTGGCGTTTTTGTGGGGGGGGGGGGGGGGGGGGGGGGGGGGGGGGGGGGGGGGGGGGGGGGGGGGGGGGGGGGGGGGTTCTGCGAAAAATCTTCTATTACCCCCAGGTCTTCTGAATATATGAACAGAAACAAGACATATCAGGTTAGCCTGTTATCTGTTCGCTCTCACAGCCATCTTTGCCTGGGGGATCTGTTATAGCACTGTTTACCCGCTAGGTATATTTAGTGTATCTGTTGTGTATTATCATCTTGTTTTTACAACGTGCGGCTGGTTCCTATTAAATAATGCGTCGAGTTTATTATGAATAGTCACGTCTGTTGTGTGCTGGTCATAGTCTTCTTCTGCATTCGCCCTT